AGATCAAATGTAGCCTAGTTGAAGCAAACAATTAGGAGAAAATTTGCACTGTGTGTGTGTGTGTGTGTGTGTGTGTGTGTGTGTGTGTGTAATTAGTTCTGCAGAAACTAAACAGGGCAGAAGAGTAGATACCCCTGCCTGTCACGGGCACTAGGTCCAGTAGAAACCAATGGTCTCAGGGTCTTAGATCAAGCACTGTGCCTGGGAACCCTCACCCACCTGCTAAGCAGCTTAAAGGCACAGGTGCAGGAGTAGCCTAGGAGAGGGCTTCTCTGCTGTGGACGCTGACAAGGGAGGGTTGTCCCTGCCTTTTCTAGCAGGAACCTAACCTGAGTAGGATAGCCATGGGGAGGGAGCATGGCCCTCCAAGAGTGTCTGTCTGGCTGCCAACCAGAGATGCCACTGTTCACCCCTGAGTCCTCAGGGAGCTCCTTAGAGCACCTGCCTATACACAACAGTGGAACCAGCTGGAGGCTTGGTAGCCCTAAGGAGGAACCAGTCCCAAGGACTGGGAAATGGGACAGAAAAGCCAGTTAGTACATATGGCTGCCCAGTGGCTGGAAGGGCCCAGGCAGGTTGCCAAAGAAGCACTCAGCTTCTCCTCACGCAGCCAACCCAGCCCTGGAAAGGCCCTTTTGATACTGAGCAGGCAGCTGGAGAGAGAAATCCGGGGTGGCTTCACCCACTCTTCCACAACCCCTTGGCCTATAACCACTGGCAGTTTTGCTTTCTGATCAGCCTTGTAGAGCTGAGGCTTTCCTCTTATTGCAGTTGCTTTCTTCTAGGAAAGAATCATGCCTATTCTGAACTTCTCCTATTGAGTCCCAGCCCAAGGAGCATGCCCTGATCAGTGGTCTTGAGGGGAGATGCTCGAGACCCCTATGCATGGCTGACAACTGCAGTGACCAGCCATTGTAGGAACAACCCCTGGGCTTCTGTCCACTGGGGCTCCCAGCCTGGCCCACACAGTGTTAGTTCGTTTTCTGTTTCAGTCAGCACACAGCTGTCCTGGTTTCAGTTCACTGGCTTCAGGCATGTGTGTGGGGCCAGGCTCAGGCAGGTTCCCCTTTTGCCCAGGTGCCAGCTGCTGCTTCCTTCCCATCTGTGCAGCCTGTGGAGGCCAAGCCTGCAGAAGTAGGGATGCTGCCTTAAAGGGACAGGCCACAGCACTGGAAAAGGAGCCTTTGGAATTCTGCCTGAATGGGTCTTAAAGGATGGACAGCCTCTATGCCAGCCTGCCCCATCCTGCACTCCTGAAGCAGGTGCTTAGTGATGGCATGTGGAGTCCCTTGCATGTTTTCTGAGGACAGTTGGGAGTGCTCCTGAGATTCACCATGCTCCATGTAACCTGAGAGATGGTACTCTTAGGCATGTACTGCAAGAGGGGTGTTATGTTTCTGAACAAACAGACATCAACAGTGGAAATCATCCAGAGAGCTGGCACACAGACCAGGGAAGCCAGGACTGTGGACCCTGAATATTTGCCTGTACCCTTGCCTCATCTGCAGTGCCCAGCTCATCTATTCTGCATGAAGATGTGTCCTCCATCAGACAGCCTGGATGAGACCTTGTCATGGACAGTCACCCCAATGCTGCTGCTCTCTCACCCAAGAGGAGGTGGACAGTCAGAGCAGTCTGTGGAAACAGCTGTGGCTATTGGCTGTAGCCCATCTTGACCAGCAGTCTCTACACGCTTCTCTCTAGAGCACCATGAGGGCTGGTCCTCAATTGTCTCATTCACACACTTGTTGACATGGGGGAGGACATCACACACATACACACATACACACACACACACACACACTTTTTTTTTGGCCTTTTTGAGATGGGGTTGCCCTGTAGCCCCAGCATTCACTATGTAGACCAGGCTGGCCTCAAACTCACAGAGATCCTCCTGCCTCTGCCTCCCGAGTGGTGGGATTAAAGGCGTATGCCACCACGCCTGACTTCACTCCCAGCTTTCTTGTATGCTTTTCTTTTTCTTTCTTTTTTTTTTTTTTTTTTTTTTTTTTTTTGTCTTTTTGAGACAGGGTCTCTCTGTAGCCCCAGCTGGCCTATGACTTGCTATGTAAACCAGGCTGGCCTTGATCTCACAGAAACTCACCTGCCTCTGATTAAAGGCCTGCACCACCACACCCTGCTTTTTGTATGCTTTTGATAGACTAGGAGACTGACCCCATGAGGCCAGGCTGAGGCTGTAACAGCTCTACATGCCTGTCTTCCACCCACTTCACTTACAATTGTGCCAGTGCCTGCATACAGGGGAGCGGAAGATTTTGACTCCCTGAAGATTGATAAGAATCAGCAGATTTTCTAGAAACTGTTAGTAAAAGGTTTAGGATGGAGAAGAGGATACCCCACATTCTTCACAGGCTTGCTTCCCTTGTTACCTGGGGGCAGGGACGAGTGTGACTTAGGAACAGGCAAGGCCCAGAGTGTGCAGACCTGGACTGCTGTGTGCTGTGATCAGAAGCATCTGAGCGGTTCTGAGCAGAAGCAGGGGCTGGCAGCAGATCTGAGTGAGGGCTATTTGGGCAGTTCTCAGAGAGTGGTATTGGAGAGAAGTGGCTTCATTCATCCTGAGTCATCCTCTGTAGACTTTGCTCAATTCTAAAATCTCAGGGTGGAGATGCGAGAGACAAAGACCCTCAGTTCATAATGAGAGGCCTGGAGACTCCTGAGTGAAAATGAAGCAGTTTATTTTTCGACCCCACAAAGTCAAACATCAGTGTAGAAAAAAAGCAAAAATAGCTAGTGTAGCAATTTGGTGCAGAGCAGTGGTTTTTATCTTAATCACGTTTCCCTTTTAGTTCCCACTGGCTGGGTTCTTCAGGGACCTGGCGTCTAGTGTGGCCCCTTCCCCAGATACCCACCCCATTGGTTCAGGATGCAAAGCCTTATCTAACGTGCGTCCCTGGGCTCCAGATTCCCCCCTCTTCTGACATATGGGCTCAGGCACAGAGCAGACTGCTGTGACTTCTTAACCCTGGGATGAACTGAGAGCGTCCAGATAAGTAGGGCCAGCTGCCTGGGAGGGATGAGCTTGAGATCATCTTGGGTTTTGGAAGGGCTACAGAGTTAGTGCAGAGTGTCCCATGACCCTCCGTGTGTGTATCATGTCACAGGCCCCTCGTCCTGCCTCTGAACACAGGCCATCCGCACAGTGAGTTTCATTGTCATTGTCGTTTCTGTGCTTAAGGCCATCTGGGCCACACATGCCACCCTGGTGGGGGTGAACCTTCCCAGCAACTCAGGCCTGGCTGCTCCTTCATTCTCTGCAGCACTGAGGAACCTGGCAGGTTGTCTATTAGACATGCTCAGGCTGGTTCTTCTCATGGTGGGACTGACAACTTCAAGGGGAGGGACATATCATCTTACCACATCGCTATGTCCAGTGATATCAGTGTAACCTGGGCCAGGTTGTCTGCCAGTGTCTGCTCTCTCTCCCTCTTCAGACCTGGTCATTGAATGAGTTTACATGGGGGCTCTCCTGGACAGGAATCAGGAGTAACAGTGTACTCTTCAGACAGATTTGTCTTCTAACCCCACTGCTCTGTCTGATCATGTATTGTAGCAGGCTGGGCTCATTGCCATCTTGAAACCCCAGGTTGTAGCCCGTGCTGTGTTCTTATCGCCTCTGTGTCTAGAACACCTGACCCTCCTCCAAGGGGGCTTCCCTCTGCAGAGCTCTTCCTGACTCTGGCCTACAGGAGGCTCCCTGCTCAGGGCCCTGGTTCTAAGGACTAAGACCAAGATTTATCAGAGTTTGTGGCTGGCAGATTTACCTTGTTCCCTGTTGCCTGAGCCCTGGGCCTCTCAACTCTGAGGGGTCACAGAACCTCCCAAAAGTTAATCAAGGCTGGTTGAAGTCATGCTGGGCAGGGCCACAGAGCCTCGTGCTAGGACATCTGCTCCCTGTCATGTGGGTGGAGTTTAAACTTTCATTCTTCTTTCTAAAGAAGTTTGTCTTTGTGGTTATGAACTTATTTTTGCAGAATTTTGCCATTTAAAGTGGAGGCAGGGGCGAGGGGTGCAGCTCAGTGATAAAGCACTTGTCCGATGTGAGCCAGGCACTGGGGAAAAATAGAGAAAAGCCAGAGGCTGGGCAGCTGGGTCGGTACCTAGGGCACTTTCGAAGTGAGTGAGTCTGGGGCAGCTAATGCTTCACAGGTGGGAAGGTGCTCGTCACAGTGAAGGTCACATTTGGGAAAGAAGGAAGCTGAAATTAAGAGCAGGAGCCTAGACAGAATTGCTGTGCTTCAGGCATTCCTGCAAACATAGTGGCAGAGCTGGATTAAGCAGCATTGTGAGCACAGGAGTCACAGCCGGGCACTTTGTGTGCTGGTCACTGCAAGCTGTCGCGCCTACCAGCATCCATCCCTTAGCAGGTGTGACCCGGCTTCCACACTGAGGCCCTTCCTGATCTTATAGCCCCGTCTCTGGTTTTATGGTTCCCTCCATCCTGGAGAGCATTTGTTAACAGCAAGCTTGCAGTTGCTAGATGCCATGATCAGTTATTTCACAAGAATTAGCTATTGAGAGTTTGCTGGGTACAGCACCTCAGTGTATTAAAAAAACAAAACAAAAAACAGCCCTAATATAGCTTAAAGGGAAAGTACAGGGAGCATCTGGCAATTGGTGCCATTTCAGTGACCAGGCTCTGAACAGCAGTGTGGATGGAGCCTTGGTGGCCACTGGGAATGCTGGGACCCAGACTCCACACTAGAGCTGATGTGCTCAGGCCTGGGCAGTATGCCAAGAGGTGAGAGCTGCTGCTCCCAATTGAACTTTTCTGTGACCCCATGGCTGTCGGGGATCCCTGGAGTTTGGACACTGATACTCTGGCGCACAGTCAGGGCAAACTCATGAAAGAGAGGGGCCAGTTCTGGGGAGGACTGTGTGCATCTCAGCAACGCTGGGAATGGCATGCTTTGCTAGATGTACCAAGTGTCTCCTTGGGTGGCTGCCGTAGCACTGACCCTTGTTTGTCCTTCTTGCAGCAGTCATGTGTCAACTGCGGCCGGGAGGCCATGAGCGAGTGCACCGGCTGCCACAAGGTTAACTACTGCTCTACGTTCTGCCAGCGCAAGGTAGCCTCCCCGCTTACACGTCCTGTTCCCTCAGCTTTCTCCCCTGGTCTAAGATGCTGTGCAGAGGCCTGGGCAGCCACTAGGGGCTGAGATGCTGGCCTTAGGGCTGTGTTTGGCCTAGAGCTATGCAGACTACTGGCTGCCTGGAGCTGCTCGGCTGGATCCTCTGTGGAAAGCCAAGGCTCTCCAGGAGACCCCAGTGTCCTCCCTTCCCTGCCCACATGCTCTGCTGTCCGGGATTTCTGCAGGCTCTCAACTGAATTGCAAGATGAGAGGGCACATGTGTGTCTCGGTGTGTGGCAGACCCTCTCCTGGGCAAAGTCCCACTGGTGGGGGCTCTGTTTTGAGGGCCCATCACCATGTCTCTGCCCAGCAGGCCTTACAGAGCATTGCAGAGTGATTGTTCACAGAGTCTCTGTTTATATTATTCAGCCATTGGCTCTCAGGACATTAAAGAGGATTTTTCCTTTTTCTTTTTCTTTTCTTTTAATATTTTGAGACAGAGTGTTGTATTTTCTGGCTGGCCTAGAACTCCATATATATCCAAGAATGACCTTGACCTTGTGAGTGCTGGGATTGCAAGTGTGTACCGCCATATAGTACACCTGGTTTATGCAGTGTTGGGGAAGAGAACCCAGAGCTTCCTTCATGCTAGGCAGGCGATCTGCCAACTGAGCGACATCTCCAGCCCTCTTTTGGTGTGCGTGTTTTATTGTTTGGTTGTGGGGTTTTTTGTTTGTTGTTTTTTTTTTTTGAGATACGGTCTTCTATAGCCCCAACGGGCCTGGAATTCACTATGTAGACAAGACTAGCCTCAAACTCACAGAGAGCCACCTGACTCTGCCTCCCAAGTGCTGGGATTAAAGGTGTGCACTACCACACCCAGCTCCTCTTGGTGTTTTTGAGACAGGGTTTCATGTAACCCAAGATAGCCTTGAACTCCTGGTCCTGCTGCCTCCACTCCTCTAGGCTTGGTCACAGGAGGGCACCACCTGCCCCAGCTTTAAAGGGTTTTTGTGTGTTCAGCCTTTGATACCGCACCTCTGCTGCTCCGCTTGTCCCCAGGGTGCCAGAGATTCAGGAAACAGAGAAGTCTGTCCCCTGAGCTTCACTCACAAGCTTTTGCACTGAGAAAAGGCCAGTCGAGTTGCTCTGCTGCACTTGGGATGCTATGATGTCCTAAGTGAGCCCGGCTGCTGGGAGGAGAGCTTGAGAGTGCAGGGGGCAGCGAGGGAAGTGCTGGCCCCAGCTTGGTGCAAGCTGCTAACTCTCCCCTTGCCTCACACTCTGGGAGCTTTGATTCTAGGAACAATCTTGTTGAGAGATTCTGTTTCTTGGTGCCATTATGCTAACTTACCCTTCGTCTGAAATGCTGTATTGATAAGGACAGACACTCGGTTATTCATCTGAACGGATGTAAAGTGAGTGTCGCTATCCGCCATTCTCATCCAGTCCAAGGCAAACACCAGCCAGGGCCTGAAGAGCCCCAAGCTGCTTAGAGTGAGTGCTAACTGCTGGTGTACTCCCTCACCCGTGCAAACCCCGCACCTGGAGTGGTGCCTTTGCTGTTTCTTTATGGGCTGGACGACAGTCATAATCGGTTTTTGTTTCCAACTTATATAGCATTTAAGTATGATGATCTTTAAGTATGATGTACATTCCATCAAGTTCACTGGACTTACCATGTAATTCAATGAAGTTTAGTAAACTCAGAGTTGCACAAATATCCCAGTGAGTTTTGGAACATCTCCCAAAAGGATCCTCAGAGCTCCTCCCTGTCCTGCCCTCGCCTCCCCTGGCCCTGGTGGTGTTGATCAACTTTCCATCTGTAGCTCACTTGTTCCGGGTGTTTCATATGACGGAATTACCCAGCACATGGCCTATTGCAGCTAGTTTCCTCAGCTCACCCTTTGTTTGTTGTGCTGGGGATTAAACTCAGGCCTTGGTATGCTAAACAAGTGAACTGCCACTGAGCTACATTCCAGCCCTTGTTTATTTTTTAATTGCAATTTAATTAATTAATCATTTTTTGTGTGTGTGTGTTTTGGGCATGACATATACCCTGGCACACACGGAGGTCAGAGGACAGCCTGCAGGAGTTGGTTCTTCCCTTTCACCTGTGGGTTGAGGGGCTCAAACTCAGGTCATCAGGTTTAGTAGCAAGCGCCCTTACCTGCTGAGTCATCTTGATGGACCCTTAGCCCTTGTTTTTTTGAGACAGGTTTCACTATGTAGCCAAAGCTGGCCTTTAAGTCTTGATCCTCTGGCCATAGCTTCCCAAGGGCTGAGATTACAGGCCTTCACACCACACCCAGCCTCACACCTTATTTTTCAAAAGCAATACTAATCTTAAAGTTTTAATTATACTAGGCTTGGTGTATACAGGAAAGAACACATGTATCTGTGAAGGTTGTGCACATGAGCCACACTGGCGCCACCTGGACATGCAGGCACCTGTAGGACCCGCGATATGCACCCAAAGCCATCAGCTGGGGGTATTTGGAATGTCTTACACCCTCGCCACATACATACCTACACAGTACCCATACAACAGAGCCTGTCCCATTCCACAACACGTGGGTATGCTTATTTCCCACCATGGTGCCAAGCCTTTTTGCGTCACTGTGGAGAATCTAAAATGTCCACAGAGGTAGGCTCCAGAGGTGGGCTCCTGAGAAAGCCCTACCCAGCATCAGCACCCACTTTCCAGGGCCGAGCATTTCCCCAAATGTCCCAGACATCAGTTTTCATCCTTGACCTGTCAGATGTGACTATCCCCTAATGGTTTTGTTGTTATTGTTGTTCTGTTTTGAGTTTTTTTGTTTGTTTTTGTTTTTTGAAACCAGCCTGGCCTCAGGTCACAGAGATCTGCCTGCTGTGATTAAAGGCATGCACCACCACGCTCCCTTGGTCATTTTGAGTATATGATGCTGCGTTTTGAACTTTCGTTACTTCTGGCATTTTCATTTTTGTATGAATTTATCCACTTTCCTTCCCGTTTTATTTATTTATTATTATATATGTTTTATTTATGCATATCTGTGTGTGTGTGCCTGTTAGTATATGCATGTGCATGCAGATGCCCATGGAGGCCAGAAGGGGGCATCTGGAGCTGGAGCTACAGGCAGTTGTGAGGTACCCAATGGGTGCTGGGAACTGAACTTGGGTCTTCTGAAGGAGCGACAAGTGCTCTTAACTGCTGGGCCATCTCTCCAGCCCTCTTATTTGGTTTTAATGTTTTAATCTTTTATTTATTGTTTTTATTTTATGCGTATGAGTATATTGCCTGCATGTGTGTAAGTGTACCTGTGTTGTGCATTTCCCTCAGAGGTCAGAAGAGTGTGTCAGGTTCCCTGGAACTGGAATTACAGATGGTTGTTAGCTGCCATGTGGGTGCTGGGAATCGAACCTGGGCCCTCTGCAAAAGCAGCCAGTGCTCTTGACCACTGAGTCACCTCTTTAGCCCCCTTATTTATTTTTTTAATTTCCCTTTTAAAGATTTATTTATTATGTGTGTATGTATGTATGTATGTATCTGTGTGAGTGTATGCCCACCTGTGTGTACACATGGAGACCAGAAGAGAACATTGGCTGTCATCCGTCATTCTCTGCCTGTTCCTTTGAGGCAGGATCTCTCTCCCAGAACCTAGGGCTTATGTCTTCTCAGCTACCTAGAAGCCAGCTAGCTCTAGCTAATCTTTCCCTGTCTTTGCTCCCCGTGGAGCTGGGGTTGTGGGTGTTTACAGGATGCCTGGCCTGTTATGTGGGTGCTGCAATCCAAACTCTGGTCCTCATGAGTATATAAGCAAGCACTCTTAAGTCCAGAGCTATCTCTCTACCTCTCACTCCAACTTTCTTTCTTTCTTTCTTTTTTTTTTTTTTTTTGGGGCAGTGTTTCCCTGTAGCCCCAGCTGTCCTGGAACTCACTATGTAGACCAGGGATGGCCTCAATCTCATAGAGATCCACCTGCCTCTGTCTTGGGATTAAAAGCTTGCACAACTACACCCAACTCAAATAACAATGTTTAAGATAGAATAGTTCACATTTGAGGTTTCAAGAGTCAATCTTGGACACCAGGCCTTGTGGCACACAGCTTTAATCCCAGCACACGGGAGGCAGAGGCAAGTGGATTGCTGTAAGTTCAAAGCTAGCCTGGTCTACGTAGTGAGTTCCAGATCAGCCAGTGCTACATAGTGAGACCCATTTTCACTCAGAGACCTGGATGGAGGCCTACCTGTTGCTTGGATGCTAACACATGGACTTCCTCATCCATACATACCCCATGTATTCACATTACAGAAGGAAGCATGTAGAACTCCATAGGAACTTGGCTAGGGTCTATAGCCTTGAGGCCCCCACAGAAGCCCACACCAGTCATGAGGAACATGGTCTAGTCATGCAGGTGGCTGTCAGAGGTCTGGTAGGTATCTGAGCCTGATTCATGCAGTTACTGGACCCATATTCCTACAGCTGTATGGATTTTTGTTTCTTTGGGCAAGTTTTTTATTGTGGCAATAAGGGAGGCTCATCCTTAGATGACCCGTCACCTTTGGTCATGCTTGTTTCTGCTCTCCTGTGTGTGTCTGTGTGTGTGTGTGTGTACATGTGCCTCTATGCATGCATGTTTGTATACCTGAGTATCTGTGCATATGTATCTCTGTGCATGTGTGTATGTATGTGTGCACGTGTATATGATCATCTTTGCAGTTACACATACTACTGTGGGTAGCAACATCATATATAGATATATATGTATATGTATTTTTGTTTCTTTCTCTCTCCCTCCTTCCCTCCCTCCCTCCCTCCTTCCCTCCCTCCCTCCTGCCTCAGACTCCCAAGTGGTGGGATTACAGGCATGGGCCACTGTACCTAGCTTTTCGTTTAAATTCTAACAGCAAAAAAGCTAGATGGACCCATGAACATATCTGGCCTTGTTCTTAGGCTCGTGCTATTTGCTGTGTGATCCTTGAAACCCCAAGGCTGGACACCAGCCAAGCGGATGATGCACAGGCACTGGCCAGGGCATTCCCTAGCCCTGCTTAGCAGCTCACATGAGCAGCTGTCTTGGGTAAAGCCCAGGGCCCAGCTAGGCGCCCTCTCCCAGCATTTCCATGTGTCCAATGTGTTGCTGTGTGCCCAGGTGGCTCCCTGTTGTCCTTCCTGCTAACTGGGTATCCTTCCTTCCAGGACTGGAAAGACCATCAGCACGTATGTGGCCAGTCAGCATCTGTCACTGTCCAGGCTGACGAAGTCCACGTTGAGGAGAGTGTAATTGAGAAAGTTTCGGTTTGAGCCAGACTTCTCCCTGCACGACTGACTGTGAGGCTGTCCTAGGCTGTAGGTCCCCTGACCGCTGTGAGGCTATGGAGAAGAGCAGCTGTGGGCTGGTCAGAAACTTGCCGGACAAGTTATTCACATGCTGAGCTACTATGCCCTTGGAAATGAACTCCTGCCAGAGACCAAGGAATGCTGGTGGCCTTACAGGATGGGGCACTCTGCCACAGCCCAGGGTCCCTGCCCAGTCACGGTGCTCTTTTATCCCTGGATCATGAGTGTTCCATTACCCATGGGGGTGCCCTGTGCCACATGTACATATCTGTTGCATCTGTTAATAAAGTTGTAAATAAAGTCCCCACCCTACCTGGACAGTGCCCAGTTTCAGAGGCTACTTTATGCTCAGATGGCCTGAGGGCTTCTGCTGTGTCCTGATTGTATGAGTGTGGACTGTGTGCTTTCATGCGTTTGTTGTAATGATACGGACCTGCAATGTGCCTCTGGCTCACCTTCACTGCCTCAATGGTCAGCACTCCCTGCTGGTCTGCCTGTTTTCCCCAAGGAGTTTTCAGCCCATCTTCCTTAATGGAAATCATTCCAGGAGAATGCCATGACTACTTAGCAATGAGGCTTGTGTGCAGGCAGTGTCCATGAGCAGCTGGAGGCTTCTCAGGAGTCCACAGGGGCAGCCTGCATGATGCACATCAACTGCTGGGTGGCCTGGGACCAGGGCTTCTGCATGAACTGTCCAGCCAGTTTCTCTTCATGCTCCCTTCTCACCACAGTACCATCCTGGCCACTGTCCCTAGGAGCAGAACTGAAGAGGCTGGGGACATTTGGGAGAGGCTCATACTTGGGGACAGAACTGGGCTGGCCTTGGAATGGGGCTTGATGCCCCTACTCATAACTCTGCCAGAGGAGCAATCACTCACATTCTGGAAGCTTCTGCATTTTCGGAAATGCCCTCCTGGGCCAAAGCCCCAACTACTCCTCACACTCAGGGTCCCAAGGCTCCCCTACAATGTGGAGGGGAGGTATGGGCTCAGTGAGGGCCTAGGGGAATGCCTGCAAGCCTAGAATTGCCTACAGACTCACCAATTCTGACACCTGCTTGAAAAACAGTTTCTGTGAGGTATAAGTATCTTCTATGTTCACATCACTGTGTGAAAGAAAATTCTCAGGCCTGCATACCCCACTGGGTCAGCACTGGTTCCCATCTTGCCAGAAGAGTCTGTACCCAGCAGAGCCCTGAGACTCCTCCAGGTGAACTCCTCCAGGGTAACTGAAGGAAGAGCAGACATGTGAACCCAATCCTGTGGGGTCCCCACCCTCTCCCCAAGGCTTGGCAGTGATCCAGCACCTTTTCTAGAGGTGACCCACTCAGCAGCGAAGGTGGAGGGACTTGTGGAAGACAGTACAAAACTCGACGTTGAAGATGGTATAGATGATGGGGTTGAGGGTGCCGAACAGGGTCTTCATGACCATCCCATTTTATTTCTCTAGATTTGAGCCTGGGTCCTCTTTAGCCTTTTGGATTGGGGAGGGGGCCTTGCCCTGCTTCCCAGCACTTTCTGGTGGCTTAGTAGCTCTCAGCTCTGTCCAACCAGCCGTGCTATGGAGAGGCAGCTGATGTTCCACAGCACAGCTCTGGTTGCATTGGTGTTGGGCCTAACCCCTCTGAAATTTGCACCCTGAAAGTAGCAGGAATTAAGACCAAAGGGGCAGCAGTCATCTGCATTCAAGAATTCCTCAAACTTGAAAACGCCTGTCACTACTGACCACAGAACAGCCTGCAGAATATATCCAGAATGTCCACTCCTAGGGGTGGCACTGTGTGATGCCCCCAGAACACCAGGATGGCTTTTGGAGCAGTGACCTCCAGAGAGCAACGGATGCCACCCATCATCACCTGGAGCTGAGGCAATGCACTCTTCCCCGTTTCTTTAAAGTGGAAGCCCAGGGGCCCTTGCCTCATTCTGGTAAGGTTTACAGTCAGAGGGTCTCAGGACATGGGTATTCAGGACTGAGTTCCCCAGGCTGAGGCCCCGGCAGGGGACATGAGTATCTGGAGCCCAGTGAGGCAGCCATACCCCATAGTACTGAGGAACGGCTCCCTTTCTGTACACTGAGGGTGAGCCTACGTCCTTAGAACACGGAGGCCACCATTTCTCAACGTTGAAAAGAATGTGGGTGCACTTTGTGCCAGCTGCTGTTCATGCAGTAACCCCAACTTAGGAAAGCCCCCTTCAGCAGGCCTAACCCATATATCTCCTATGACAGAATGGGGTAAAGGGAAGTGTCAGGGGGCACTGTCCCTGCCAGGAGTCACCTCCTCTTTCAAGGCTGGGCCATGTCTAGAGAGTGCGAACTCAAGGGCAGCTTGGGACCCTCAGGCCAGCCTTGGGCCCTGCTGCCCTTGCTGGACACATATGGGGTAGAGATTACCTGGGTGGGGCTGGGTGTGGAACTCCCTCTGGGACAGCACTTTGGTGGGAGTTGGTCAGTGCCACAACATGCTCTTTCCTGTTGGCTTTTGAGGCATCTTCTGGACAGAGGCTGGCAGGAAACTAGGTGTACTGTTCCCAAGGAAGCTCCCAAAACCATGTGTGTGGCCAGCCCAGCTGCACTTTTTTTTTTTCAGTGACAGCGGAACCCAGAATCTTCCCTTCCTGGCTTTCCATGAAGCAGGATCTGGCCTAGACAGGATCCTGAGGACCCAGCAGCCTGAGGGATCCCTTTAGCATCACTCCCAGGGCAAGCAAAGCTCCTGCTCCCGCTGGACACTTGCCCAGCCTCCCTCGTTGTGGGGAAACTAATGCAGCCGCTGTATTTCCTCCTGGGGCAGAGAAGAAACTTCAGAGACTCCTCCCCCTCCCAGAGCCAGCAGCCTCCTCAAAGACTGGAGTTAACTGGGTCCCACAGAAGCGAAAGATCCTCTCTTTCTCTCTGACCTCTCCCCAGCTCCATAAGCATTTAGGAAATAATTTGTTTAATCAGAGGAAAGCTCAAGTATACCCGAACATAGACTAGGATCTCCTTGATCCTAGAGGCCAGAGGTGACCCACTCAGCAGCGAAGGCTGAGAGATTTGCTGAAGACTGTGCAAAACTCTGTGTTGAAGATGGTGTAGACGATGGGGTTGAGGGCATTGTTGACATAGCCTAGCCAGGTGACTGCGCTGACCAGGCGTGAGGGCACGAAGTAGGCAGGACACAGTGCCCGTGTGATGTGCACCACGAAGGAGCGCGTCCAGCACACCAGGAAGGCCCCAGGGGGTGGGCGGCATGAGCCTGTCTGGAAGGCTGCGAGGGCGATCACACCAGGGGATGGCGGCGGGGAGCGGACAGTCGGGGTTGCAGGGTCTCTGAGAGCGGTCAGGTGAGGACGGGCGGGCCAGGGCCTCTGGGGCTCTGCAAGGGGCCGGGTATGGGGAGCGGACAGTCGGGGACAAAGGGGCTCTGAGCTGTGTCGGGCTGGGGCCTCTGGGTCTCCGCGGCGCTCGGCTGTGCAGCTTGGCACGTCGGGTAGTGTTGGGGACCTCTGTTATGCAAAGTAGAAGTCCCTTCACGACGGGACAGCTCATGCAGCTCAGGATCATGTGCTGAGGGCTCCTTTCATAGCAGGGTCCCTTCCTGGCATCTTTCCTGACTCTCCTTTTGAAGTGCCCGCCACAAATGCTCTAGCATAAACATGGCCTTTGGCTCTGAATGGTCCCATGCTTTCCTGTGTGATTTTTCCAGGCAGACAGCAGTCTGGCAGAAACCCACTTCCATATGTAAATAGAATGCCTCACAAAGCATCTAACAGCCAAAGCTTTTACCACTACCCCCATGGTATAAATATCCTAGTCTTCTCTCAATATTGGGGCCTAGAAGCCGAGCTGGGACTAGAGCAGGAACTGGGTCACTGAGACTTGGAATAAAGAGCTGTAGACTGAGTCTGTGTCTCCTGCCTGTAATCGAGTCTCCCCGGGGGGCAGCACTCCTCCGTTACTGACTTGCGGACATTCCTAGCTTTCACCGTCCTCGTACCCTTCCCGCGCGGTCCAGTGGCCAGTGGACCTCGCTTCCTGAGGAAGGTACATGGGTGAATTAAGGGCGGGATTTAGCTGGACAACGCTCCAGCAGCAGAGGAACTTTCAGCACGGGAGCAGCGGACAGAGATGCAGGAACCGAAGCCGCTGAAAAGCCCGCGGGACACCTTCTGCCACTCCCAGAGAGGCGCGGCCAGAGCCAGACTCGCACCGCGACTCGCCAGGTGAGGCGGGGACCTCGAGATACCCGCGCACCCCACGCCTGAGGCCCATAGAGACACGGAGAAGCCGGCGGGGCCAGACCCGCCTTCCTCCAGGCGCACGGCGGAGAAGCCTGTGGACCCGCCGTGCCATTCCGGGAGTGCGAGCAGGGACCCCTGGCGCCCAGCGCGCGCTCCCTATAGGGTCGCTCCCCGGCCCCGGGGGCCGCGGAAAGGGGCCCGGTAGAGAAACATCACCGGTGGACAGGGCAGGAAGAACGAGCGCACGGACAAGCAGACCACGGAGCGGCGGTCCTCCAGCTGGCACCCCGCCGGATCCCGGCCGCGAACATCGCTGAGGCTGCACCACACCCGCGCGGCCACCGCAGCCGACGGTCCCACCGCTTGTAGCGCAGAGGCCCCGTCCCCGCCACGAACCTGAGGGGACGCAGGCTGGCGAGGCCGCGGGGTGGGGCGGCAGACTCCGGGGTGGAGGCTTGGGGACGGCCGGACACCCACCTGTCCACGCTGATGGCGCACAGGTTGAAGATGGAGGTGGTGCAGGGCAGGACGTCCATGGCCGTGAGGGCATCGCAGAGGCGGGGCCTTAGCAGCCACACGCCGCCCTGAACCTGACCATGCAGCGAGTGAATGCAGCAACAAAACGCAAGACCTGACTTTTCATCCGCGGATTTTCTAACCCTCCCTCTAGGGGGAGCAGGGGCTGAATATCAGAGGGGAAAGGAGGGCGTGTGAGGCATCTGGAGACACCTTTCATGCTGGGAGAGAGGACAGACCAGTCTTCCCGCTCAGGTCTCCTTTGGTTAGGGGGTGAAGCCTGGAGAAGACCCTGGGGGTCTGATACCATCTGCTGGAGAAGAGCCCCTTCCGGGTTAGGTCTGACCCTCTACCTACAAACTACACCCGCCTCCAGAACTCAGAAAAACCCTCCTTTCTGCCTTCGGGTGAGTCCCTTCCCTTGTTGGACAGTATACACATCCCAACTGTCCCGAGGACAAATGTGCTCTACAAATACAAAGACCTTTCACTGCCCTTTGCAATTGTGCATGGAGTATTCCTCTTCAAGGGCAAAGGAGCATGCACCCCCCCACACCCCTCCAAATCCCATCTCACTAATTTGGGATGATTAGGAGCTTGAGAGTCATCGCGGTGACATCTGCTGCTTAGGGAGAAGCTGAGGATAAGTATGGCTGCCAGCCTCTGTCATAGCTCCAGGACTCAGGGTGTCTACCTTAGAAATCCCACAGTATCCCCACCCTCCATAACCCATTGTATCCCTTCCCTTGCCCTAAGCAGCTTTTCTCTGAGCAAACCTCAGGCAGATAGTAACCACTTAGCCCCACAGCAGATCCACTTTGTCTGAGGTGACTCAGGTCCAGGATTCTCCAAAGGGTTCCTACCCACTCCCATTGACAACACCCCCCCTCCTGTTCACTGGCCTGCTTAGGCCTCCCTGCCCCCACCCTGTCCACTGCTGGAAACTCATGGCAGCTGGCAGCTGGTTGAGCTGGCACAGACTGGTGTGGGGGGGGTGGTCCCTAATGGCACCAGAGGTTGTGAGTAGTGATGTGTGTCTCTGCACACTTGCCTGACTGGTCTGTCCCGTTGGCTTCTAGGGGGTGAGGCAGAATAGTCCTAGAGAGAGAGCCAGGGCCAGGCTCACGATGAAGTAGTTGGTGGGTGTCTGCAAGGTGCGCTCCAAGCCACGCTCACGCACACAGGCGCGTTGCCCGCCAGCACTGTGCCAATGAGCAGCATGCCCCCCACCAGCGCTGCAACCTCCGTGCCCTCCAACCCCGCGCCGGTCCCTGGGGTCCCCTGCCCACGGCCCGCCAACAGCCCACGCCGGGCCGACAGCCCACCCGCGTCCACAGCGCTGCGATTCCCTATAGCGCGCCCGCCCCATGCGCCCGGGCAGGCGCGGAGCCAGGCGGACAGATGGGCGCGTGCTCTCTGGAGTCCCGCCCCGGACACGTCCATCCCGGCCTGGACCCGCTCGGGGAGCAGCCAGCGCATCTGCTGCAAGATTCGGATTTCCCAACTCTAGGAAACTGACAGAGGGAGAAATGCAACAGGTCAAGAGATGGGAATTGAGCGAAGTGACTGGCACAAAGAGGCCCAGCAGTGGCTGGTGGTGTGCACTACGGTTGGCTTGTCTGGCCGACTTAGCGCGCAGGGCACCGCCACTAGCGCCAGTCATCCAGGCAGGCCAGGCTGGGAGACTCAAGACCTTGCAGACCGCCAAGTTACCCGCCAGGAGCTCCTCTCCAGGAGGCTCTGAGGACTAGGCAGAGCCCGTAGTTCCCCTCTACCTTGTACACGGCTTTGGGACAATGTCCTTTCCACACACAAAAGACAAGCTCTGGCTCTGCAACAGGCGCCAACCCCAGCCGTTCCAGGACTGCCCACTTGCCCCTGGCCTCAGAAATATGGCACAGCCTGGCACACCATACTCATTCTCCCTCTGAAATCCACACTTGGGCGAATGTGCAGCTTCCGATGCAGGTCTTGACCTGCCCCTTGAGTCCATCCCTGCCTCTTGTCCTATCTCCGGGCAGAAGCCTCTGGCCTTTGTACTGCCTTCTCAGTCACTGCTGAACTGGACCATGGGACAAATGACACAAATGACACATGATACTTGGCCACTGTCACCTCCCAGGCCCAGTCTTAAGTTGTAACCCTCCTGGGAGGGCAGCTAGCTCAGTGGTCAACCCTACTTCCTACCTCTTAGCATCCATTTGACTGACCCTCAGCTCAGCTATCTTGCCTGTGAGATGGTGTGGGCCTGGGGCTATTGGGAATACTTAACAAGGAATATTCTGTTAGGAGTACTCACATTTAAAAAAAAAAAAAAAGCACTCTCATAAAGGAACTCCCTTCTCCAAGTCACACGGGAGGGAGGCCACACCTCTCACCCTGTGCCAACACTCAACACTGGACTACAGAAACATCTGCTAGAGTCCAGGGCCAGGGCAGCACAGGCAGAGATGACGCTGAGGAATCTTATGACACATGAAGCAGAAGGAAGAAGAGCAGTCTCTGGCAGGTTATGAGTTCACACAGAGACAGCACATGGAGAATGTATTAGCCAAAGAATTTTTTGTGGACTTGGGTCTGAGAGCTCTTTCCTGGAGACCTGTGACTAAAGGGCTGTCCTCTAAGTGGGTGCGGACTGCATCACTCCTGACTAATATACCTGTAATATACCTGTTCCCTCACCTTCCTTTCCGGCAGGAAGTCAGAGAAAAGGGGGGCAGGGGTCCTGTGGGGCATGTGGGGGTGCTTTCCAGGACCAAAGGAACCTAATTCCAAAGATTTCAGGGGAATTGGGCCAGTTCTTAGGGGAAAGAATACGTAGTGAGGCTCATGCAGACAGGCTCTAAGTGTGCCTAGGGCACCTAAATCTTTCTAACCTGTCCTGGAGAATTCGATCATAAGGGACAGAAAGCCTTCCTTTGCTGCTAAAACCTTTAGCAAAAGCACCTGGTACCAGGGACAGAGCACATGAAGGTTCTCTTCTCATAGGACCAAAGTCCAGAGCAGACATGGCTCTGGGCTCCTGGGCAGGGATGAGATGGTCAGTCCAGTCTGGTATGCCCAGAGCCTCAGCAGGTAAAAGTGCTTCTTACAATGTAAGCCTGCCAACCCAAGCTCAATCCCCAGAACCCACAGTAGAAGACGAGAATCAACCCCTAGCAGCACTCTTCTGACATCCACATGTGAGCCATGGTAAGTGAACACACCACACACACACACACACACACACACACACACACACATAATTTAAAACAACCCACAACTAACTAGATTCAGTGTTATGGTAAACTCGGGAGGCCAAGGTAGGAGAATTAAAACTGAAACAAAAAAGCTGGCTATGGCGATGCATACCTGTAATCCCAGCCACTTAGAGGGTAGATGTTGGAAGATTAGGAGTTCAAGGTCATCTTGGAATATATCACTAGTTTGAAGCCAGCTTAGGATAGAGGAGACCCTGATTCAAAAAACCAAAAATTTTAAAAAATCAAATGAGTCATATTGTGTGTCAGTGTGTGTGTATGTGTGAGTGTGTGTATGTGTGTGTATGTGTGTGTATGTATGTGAGAGTGTGTGTGAGTGTGTGTGTGTATGTGTGTGTATGTGTATGTGTGTATGTGTGTATGTGTGTGTGTGTATGTGTGTGTGTGTATGTGTGTGTGTGTATGTGTATGTGTGTATGTGTGTGTGTGTGTGTGTGTGTGTGTGTGTGGACATGCATGTTCAAGCCAGAGGTCAACATTGGGCACCTTCTTCAGGTGTTCGCTGTTTTATTTTTGAGACGGGGTCTCTCACTGAACCTGGATCTTCCCAATTAGGTTAAACTGGCAGCCAGCAGGCCCAGGGATTCTCCTGTTTCTACCTCCTTCCTGGAATCACAGATCTGCACTGCTGCGCCCTACTTTTTTATGTGGGTCCTGGGGATCAAATTCAAGTCCTCATCCTTGTGTGGCAAGCACTTAACTAACTCAGTCATCTCCTCAACCTAGATTTTTGGGGTAAGCCAGAGGTCAACATTGGGCACCTTCTTCAGGTGTTCGCTGTTTTATTTTTGAGACGGGGTCTCTCACTGAACCTGGATCTTCCCAATTAGGTTAAACTGGCAGCCAGCAGGCCCAGGGATTCTCCTGTTTCTACCTCCTTCCTGGAATCACAGATCTGCACTGCTGCACCCTACTTTTTAATGTGGGTCCTGGGGATCAAATTCAAGTCCTCGTCCTTGTGTGGCAAGCACTTAACTGACTCAGTCATCTCCTCAACCTAGATTTTTGGGGGTTTTTGAGCCAGGGTCTCAGGTATCTCAGGCTGACCTCAAAGTTGCTATGAAGCTGAGGGTAACCTCGAACTTTTGATCCTCCTGTCTCCACCTCCCAAGTTCTGGGATTACTGGCATGCACCCACAGGTCTGTGGTACGGGGGATTGAACCTAAGACTTAGTACATGTTAGTCAAGCACTCTATAAACCGAGCTACAAACCCAGCCCTCAGTCAGATTTATATATAAAACTTGAAACTATAGAAGAAAAGATGGAAGAAAATCTTTGGGACCTGGGAAGAGGCAAAGGGTTCTTAGACGTGGCTAAGAACAGGATCTACAAATGAAAACTCAGGTGAACTGAACTTTGTCAAAATTAAAACCTCCAGCCACAGAATGAAAGGCAGTATTAGCAAGCTGCATGTCCAGTAAGTATCTTGTAGATATAGTTACAATATGACATCTTTATAAATATATAAAGAACCTTCAAAATTCAACAGCAATGACATCACAAGAAATAGTCCTAACACTATCCTTTTTTGAATGTAGATACAAAAATCTTCAGGGAAAGACTGCAAATCCCACTGCATTTTTAAAGGATTATGCACTATAACTCCCAGGGGAGTTTGTTCCAGGAATATAAGGGTGAGTCTACAAATGAAACTCAATCAATATAATACACCACATTAATAATAATAATAATAATACACCACATTAATAAAATGGAGAAAAAACTCACAGGGGCCCAAGCTCCATTTTATTACTTGCACAGTGGAACACAACTTGATTCATGATTATCTCAATTGATGCAGAAAAAGCACTAGACAAAAATCTAGCACCCTGAGCCAGGTATAGTGGCACACACCTGTAAGCCCAGCACTCACGAGGCTGAGGCAGAAGGATTTCAAGTTTGAGGGTAGCCTAGACTACATTATATAGACCAGGCTGGCCTCAAACTCACAAAAATCCACCTGCCTCTACCTCCTGAGTATTGGGATTAAAGGCATGAGCCACCACAGACTCTCCTTTGGATTTTTTTGAGACAGGGTCTCACTGTGTAGCCCAAGCCTAGCCTCAAGCTCACAGCATTCTTCCTGGCTCAGCCTCTCAAGGCCTGGGATTATAGGAAGGAGTCACCATTCCTGCTTGACAAAATCCAATTCTTTGTAATCCATTGTCAGTGGCCATCACAAAAACAGAAAACCTGAGTTTTTGCTTTGCTCCCGGCCTCCTGTGCACTTTTCCTGGTTTTTGTTTATGTTTTTGTTTTGAGATAGGGTTTCACTATATAGCCCTGGCTGGCACAGAGCTCTGTATGTAGATCAGACTGGCCTTGAACTCACAGAGATCCACCTACCTCCACCTTCCAAGTGCTGGGATCAAAGGCGTGTGCCACCATGTCCAGCTCTCAGGGCCCTTCTTATGCTCTGTCTAAATGCAGCCTCAGCCAGCTCTGCCATCCTCCTCCAAACTCTGTGTAGGGTGGTACCTGCGAGGTGGTAGTAGTTGCCCCTACCACCTGAGCATCTTCCTGATGAGGCCCTGTGCACATCTGTCTGGAGAGGAGTATCTCCTGCACATCACTGTTCCAGTGGGTCACTGTTCGCGCCTCACTAGCCACCTGTCTTCTCCCTTCCGCTTATTTACTCAGGGATTTGACTCCAGCGTCACTGCGGTGGGTCTGTTGGTAAGGACATACATGTACTTTTTTTTCACATATGCTAGACAATCACTCTACCACTGAGCTATGTTCATAGTCCTAACACACACACACACACGCGCACACACACACACACACACACTTTATAGCAGCTCTGTTCACAGTTGCTTGAACTTGGAAACAATACAGATGCCCTTCACTGGGTGAGTGGATAAACACACTGGGCCGCTCAGACAGTGGAATATTGCTGGGCATTAAAGAGAAATCAGCTACTGAGCCATGAAAAGACTCAGAGGAGATGTAAATGCTTATTGACAAATGAAAGAAGTCAGTGTGGGGCCGGAGAGGTGTCTCCGTGGGCAAAGGCCCTTACTGCCAAGTCTGACAACCTGAGTGTGAGCCCTGGAACTCACACGATAGAAGGAGAAAATTGACTCCAAAAAGTTGTCCTCTGACCTTCACACACACACACACACACACACACACTCACACACACACTCACACATACACACTCACACATAAATGTAATTAAAAAATACAGATGCCAATGTGAAAAGGCTGTCTGCTGCGCTTCCAATCTGGCACCCTGGAGAAGGTAACTCTACCAGAGTCAGTGAAAAGATCCGGAGTCTGGAGGGCAGGATAAGCAGGGGTTCCATGGGGGACTTTTAGGGCTGTGACACTACTGTGTTTGTGTAGTTAGTGCTGGATCGATGCTGTTTACACTGCCCAGTCCCACAGAATGTACAGCCCAAGAGTGGTCCTCAAAGAGAACTGCAGGCCTCACTGGTACTACTGTGCTGAGCTTGGCTCACCAGCTGTAACAAATGCACTTCTCCAGTGCCAGGGTGTTTGTTATTTTTTCTAAGGGTCTTGTTGTATATTGCTGGCTGGCTTGGAACTTGCAGCAATCCTCCTGCCTCTGCCTCCTGCATGTGGGATTACAGGTGTGTGCTATCAGTATCTCTTCTTCATTTTTAAAACATGTGTCTTTCTATTTTTAATTATGTGCTTGCATGTGTATCTGTGTGTGGGTATGTTCACATGCGTGCAGTGCTTTCAGAAGCCAGAAAAGGGTGTCAGACCCCTGGAATTGGAGTTACAGGCCTTTGTGAGCTGCCCAATGTGGGTACTGGAAGTGGAACTCAGGGCCTCTGGAAAAGCAGTAAGTGTGCTTAACCTCAGAGCCAATTCCCCAGTGCCCAGTGTTCCTTCTTAATAAAACAGGACTTTGGGTAGGAGTGTCTGGGGGTAAAAGAGAACTGAACTCTATACTTTCAGTTCAATTTTTCTGTAAACCGAAAACTGCTCTATAAAACACAAAGTCTAGTAATTATTTTTAAAACCACATGTAGAGGCTGGGGGTGCAGCTTAGCTGGCAGAATGCGTGCCTAGCATGTGTAAAGCCTTGAGTTTCATTCCCAGTATTACGTAAAGCCAAGGTACACCCATGTAATCCCAGGACTCAAGAAGTATTGTCAGGATCCAAGGTTTAGGATCATCCTCAGTTATATAACAAGTTGGAGGCCAGCCTGGGGAACATGAGACCCTGTCTCAAAAATCCCAAACTAACAACCGGCCCCAAAACCCAAAACCATATAGAGAAGTGGGCATAGTAGTGCATACTTGTTTTTTTTTTAACATTTTATTTTTATTATTTTTATTTTATGTGTGAGTGTTATACCTGCATGTAAGTAAGTGCACTGGTGTCATGCAACGCCCATGGAGGACAGAAGAGGCTGTCGGATCCCCTGCAACTGGAGTTAATGAACAGTTGTTAGCTGCCACGAGGGTGCTGGGATGCGAACCCCGGTCTTCTGCAAGAACAGTGTTCTTAACCGCTGAGCCATCTCTCCAGCCCAGTAGTGCATACTTGTAATCCCTGCAACTGGGGGGCTGAGGCAGGAGGCCTGCTGAGAGTTTCAGGCTAGCTTGGGGTGAGCTCAAGAGCAGCCTGGGTGTTGTTTGCTAGGTTTGTAATTTGATTTTAAGGATTTTGTGAGAATGGGTGGCTCTTGGTGTTGGTTGTGGTGCTGGCAGTGGAACCCAGGTCCTGGTGCATGCTGGGCAAGTGTTCTTCCACTTTTCCCTTCCCTGCCATAGAGGCCTCTCATCAATCCCTAGCTTTAGCTCCCCATCTCCCGCTCTTCCCCACTCCTGCTTTTCCCTGTTTCATCTGCTTCCTGCCACCAGCATGAACCAGACTTGTCTTTCTTCCCTCCAAAACTACACGTACCTAAGAAAGCTCCCATCCCTGGTGCTAGGCTGGCCCTCGCAGGACTACTCTGCACTGGCCTTTCTGTCCTGGCTTCTCTGAGGGCTCTAGGATCCAGGCCCTCCTTTTCCAACAACACCCTTACACACACACACACACACACACACACACACACACACACACACCACACACCACACACACACCACACACACACACCACACATACACACCATACACACACCACACACACAGCACACACACACACCACACACACCACACATACACCACACCCCCGCACACACACAGCACACACACACACCCTACACACACACCCCCACACAGCACACATACACCCCCCCCCACACACACCGCACACACACAGCACACACACACCCCACACATCTCACACACACCCCACACACAGCACACACACACCCCACACATCTCACACACACCCCACACACAGCACACACACACCCCACACATCTCACACACACCCCACACACAGCACACACACACCCCACACATCTCACACACACCCCACACACAGCACACACACACCCCACACATCTCACACACACCCCACACACAGCACACACACACCCCACACATCTCACACACACCCCACACACAGCACACACACACCCCACACATCTCACACACACCCCACACACAGCACACACACACCCCACACATCTCACACACACCCCACACACAGCACACACACACCCCACACATCTCACACACACCCCACACACAGCACACACACACCCCACACATCTCACACACACCCCACACACAGCACACACACACCCCACACATCTCACACACACCCCACACACAGCACACACACACCCCACACATCTCACACACACCCCACACACAGCACACACACACCCCACACATCTCACACACACCCCACACACAGCACACACACACCCCACACATCTCACACACACCCCACACACAGCACACACACACCCCACACATCTCACACACACCCCACACACAGCACACACACACCCCACACATCTCACACACACCCCACACACAGCACACACACACCCCACACATCTCACACACACCCCACACACAGCACACACACACCCCACACATCTCACACACACCCCACACACAGCACACACACACCCCACACATCTCACACACACCCCACACACAGCACACACACACCACACACACACACCACACACACAACACACACACCCACACACACAGGACACACACACAGCACACACACACAGCACACACACACACCCTACACACACACAGCACACATACACCCACACACACACACCACACACACACACCGCACACACACACAGCACACACACACCCTACGCATCACACACACACCCCATACACCCCCCATACATACCACACAGACCACACACAT